TATTATAATATCATATTAATATTAGCATTTTTACTGAAGTAAATAATAAAAATAGTAAGTATGTTCTGAACATGTATCTCTACCACAAATTTGGGTGCTCAAGGCACAGTGTCTTAAAAATGTCTCTCTTTAAAAATTTCAAATAAACTGTAGAAACACAGAAACTGTATAGAGAAGAAAAGTGTACAGTATTTAGATGTTTAGGAGGGTCATATTAGTTTATATAAATGCTAAAGGCAGTGATGATGATAATTGCAAATTTATTTATATTAAATGATAATGTTGAAGTAAAAATGTACCTGGTTTTTATCTCTTTATTATACTGTCTCTTATACACATCTAGATGTGTATAAGAGACAGACCCTGGAACCAGTAAAACTGCACCATTCTCCAGCATAGGTTTGCCCTCCATAGCAATATATTAGAAGAGATAATACTGTATTCAATAAAAGTACATAACAGTATTTGGAACCAATTATTTAATATGTAACAGATGATTGACGTAAAATCACAGGCATTGTAATTTTTGCCTGAGTTAGCCTGCAGGCAAAGTTTTTTTTTTTTTTTTTAATGCACTGCCTGTAATCAGTACTGTCTTATAAATAGGCCTTTTTAATCAAATACTGTGTTTCTTTTCTTTTTCAATAGTATAATATTATACATTACTTAGTTGATAGAATCTTATATGGAATTTAGTAATGATTTTGAATTAAATAATCTATTTCCTTATTTAAAACATATTTTAATAGCCCTTGATATCACATTGAGGCATTAAATAATTTTTTCTTACTCTTATTACTACAAATTTTAATTAAATAATTTATTAATTTAATTGTCTGATTCATGTCTTTGTATACAACAACCTTTCATAATAGATATCCCTTGATAAATCTTTTCCTATTCTTCATTTAATTAGTTTTTAAATTGAATAATCTATTCATTTATTTCTTTAATGTTCTGATTCATTTCTTTATTTGTCCACTGGGGTCTGTACACATATATATAATATATTCTTTACATAATGGAATTAAATAATCCAGTTTTTATTTATTAGTTACATTTCTGAATCATTTCTTTATCAAATTTAACTACTACGCCTACACACTGATATTGGTTGCTATCTTTTCATACATTTCAATAACTTATAATATAAGGAATTAATATTTTTAACTTAAAATTTACTTTTAAAAATATTCTGAAATTTCTGTATCTATTAACACAGTAGTTAGTATTTATGTTACATCTTCTCATATCATATCGTATATATTTTACCAATAATGCAAAAAAAAAAATGTTTAGAACACAATGATGAAACTCGAAAGAAAATATCTAAATATTATAGTTCAAACAAGCATAAACATTTAAAAGAGCTACATTTATACAATTTTTTGTTTTATTCTTTATTAAAAACAGGTGTATATGTGTATTTTTTTTTTTTTTAATTCTTTATTATAGAGTAATTTTTAATTAAACAATCCACTTATTTAATCAATCATTTCTATAGTTATTAATGACCTTTAGTAGTTACAGTAGTGTATTGATACTTGCCATTGAATACATCTTGCAATGGCCGACTGTATATATGCATATAGGCGTTGGCTTCTGTCATAATTAATAGTTTTCCTTTACAATCAAGTTAATTATACTTCATGGTCACTTGTGTTTATATTTATATCTGCATTTATAAAGTTATATAGTTATATGGAAATACACACAGCCACCTCTAAAGAATGTCAACATTATAATTTATAGAATTACCATATATTCTGGCATATAAGGCGATCCATATATAAGACGACCACTGAGTTTGAGAAGATCTTTTGACAATATTTTCCAGGTATATAAGATGACTCCCCCACCCCCTATTTAACCTTCTAAATTCTCAATTTTTACTGCTCTTTTGGTCTTGATAACTGCATCGGCCTGGCTAAAAACAGAGCCAAATATAGGGCTAATCTTCCAAATAATACTATTTTATTGGCTTTTAAATGTTCATCAAAATCTTATTTCCCTGCATTTAAAATTGCAGTTATTCATACTAACAGTTAGTAGCTTCATTTTAGTAGTAAATGTGCATGTTAAGGATGATCCACGCATAAGACGAACACAATTTAATCAAAAATTTTTATGTGTTGCACATACAAGACGACCCCCTGTACTTTTTTTTTTTTATTGCAATTTGCTATTTGATGCCTTGTCTTTAAAAACATGAGAATATACTGATTAAATCATCTTGCTAAAATTTACTGTTGTCAAAATGTGTTGTCAAAATGTTTTGTCAAATTTTTGTATATTTTACTTTAAAAAACATACCAAAATCATTAATTTTTGTCATTATCATGATTAATATTGTATTATAATATCATATTAATATTAGCATTTTTACTGAAGTAAATAATAAAAATAGTAAGTATGTTCTGAACATGTATCTCTACCACAAATTTGGGTGCTCAAGGCACAGTGTCTTAAAAATGTCTCTCTTTAAAAATTTCAAATAAACTGTAGAAACACAGAAACTGTATAGAGAAGAAAAGTGTACAGTATTTAGATGTTTAGGAGGGTCATATTAGTTTATATAAATGCTAAAGGCAGTGATGATGATAATTGCAAATTTATTTATATTAAATGATAATGTTGAAGTAAAAATGTACCTGGTTTTTATCTCTTTATTATACTGTCTCTTATACACATCTAGATGTGTATAAGAGACAGACCCTGGAACCAGTAAAACTGCACCATTCTCCAGCATAGGTTTGCCCTCCATAGCAATATATTAGAAGAGATAATACTGTATTCAATAAAAGTACATAACAGTATTTGGAACCAATTATTTAATATGTAACAGATGATTGACGTAAAATCACAGGCATTGTAATTTTTGCCTGAGTTAGCCTGCAGGCAAAGTTTTTTTTTTTTTTTTTAATGCACTGCCTGTAATCAGTACTGTCTTATAAATAGGCCTTTTTAATCAAATACTGTGTTTCTTTTCTTTTTCAATAGTATAATATTATACATTACTTAGTTGATAGAATCTTATATGGAATTTAGTAATGATTTTGAATTAAATAATCTATTTCCTTATTTAAAACATATTTTAATAGCCCTTGATATCACATTGAGGCATTAAATAATTTTTTCTTACTCTTATTACTACAAATTTTAATTAAATAATTTATTAATTTAATTGTCTGATTCATGTCTTTGTATACAACAACCTTTCATAATAGATATCCCTTGATAAATCTTTTCCTATTCTTCATTTAATTAGTTTTTAAATTGAATAATCTATTCATTTATTTCTTTAATGTTCTGATTCATTTCTTTATTTGTCCACTGGGGTCTGTACACATATATATAATATATTCTTTACATAATGGAATTAAATAATCCAGTTTTTATTTATTAGTTACATTTCTGAATCATTTCTTTATCAAATTTAACTACTACACCTACACACTGATATTGGTTGCTATCTTTTCATACATTTCAATAACTTATAATATAAGGAATTAATATTTTTAACTTAAAATTTACTTTTAAAAATATTCTGAAATTTCTGTATCTATTAACACAGTAGTTAGTATTTATGTTACATCTTCTCATATCATATCGTATATATTTTACCAATAATGCAAAAAAAAAAATGTTTAGAACACAATGATGAAACTCGAAAGAAAATATCTAAATATTATAGTTCAAACAAGCATAAACATTTAAAAGAGCTACATTTATACAATTTTTTGTTTTATTCTTTATTAAAAACAGGTGTATATGTGTATTTTTTTTTTTTTATTCTTTATTATAGAGTAATTTTTAATTAAACAATCCACTTATTTAATCAATCATTTCTATAGTTATTAATGACCTTTAGTAGTTACAGTAGTGTATTGATACTTGCCATTGAATACATCTTGCAATGGCCGACTGTATATATGCATATAGGCGTTGGCTTCTGTCATAATTAATAGTTTTCCTTTACAATCAAGTTAATTATACTTCATGGTCACTTGTGTTTATATTTATATCTGCATTTATAAAGTTATATAGTTATATGGAAATACACACAGCCACCTCTAAAGAATGTCAACATTATAATTTATAGAATTACCATATATTCTGGCATATAAGGCGATCCATATATAAGACGACCACTGAGTTTGAGAAGATCTTTTGACAATATTTTCCAGGTATATAAGATGACTCCCCCACCCCCTATTTAACCTTCTAAATTCTCAATTTTTACTGCTCTTTTGGTCTTGATAACTGCATCGGCCTGGCTAAAAACAGAGCCAAATATAGGGCTAATCTTCCAAATAATACTATTTTATTGGCTTTTAAATGTTCATCAAAATCTTATTTCCCTGCATTTAAAATTGCAGTTATTCATACTAACAGTTAGTAGCTTCATTTTAGTAGTAAATGTGCATGTTAAGGATGATCCACGCATAAGACGAACACAATTTAATCAAAAATTTTTATGTGTTGCACATACAAGACGACCCCCTGTACTTTTTTTTTTTTATTGCAATTTGCTATTTGATGCCTTGTCTTTAAAAACATGAGAATATACTGATTAAATCATCTTGCTAAAATTTACTGTTGTCAAAATGTGTTGTCAAAATGTTTTGTCAAATTTTTGTATATTTTACTTTAAAAAACATACCAAAATCATTAATTTTTGTCATTATCATGATTAATATTGTATTATAATATCATATTAATATTAGCATTTTTACTGAAGTAAATAATAAAAATAGTAAGTATGTTCTGAACATGTATCTCTACCACAAATTTGGGTGCTCAAGGCACAGTGTCTTAAAAATGTCTCTCTTTAAAAATTTCAAATAAACTGTAGAAACACAGAAACTGTATAGAGAAGAAAAGTGTACAGTATTTAGATGTTTAGGAGGGTCATATTAGTTTATATAAATGCTAAAGGCAGTGATGATGATAATTGCAAATTTATTTATATTAAATGATAATGTTGAAGTAAAAATGTACCTGGTTTTTATCTCTTTATTATATTTATACTTCAATGTCACGAATAAGTAAGCTGGACTTTAGGAAGACGAATCTTAAAGCGATTGGCCACCTAGGTACGGTAAAATATTATGAATATTAAAAAAATAAATATAACAAATAATATTTAATGATCTTAACATAAGTCTTTGGTTCAATGGGTTATATCTCAATATTGTTTTTCTCAATCAAATTTACAAAATAGTGGTGTTTCTCAATAGTTTGATTATTATCAGGTGATTTTTTTTCCATACCTTGCATATGATGCAATAAACTTAAAAAAAATGTTCACTTAATGGGAAAAGAGAATATACCAGCTGGAAATCACAGCTCAACAGGTAGTACAACTAAATCATATTGATGTGTTTTGGCTTTAAGCCAAGGACCTCTTGGTGGAGACAATTTGCTTTAAAAAAATATTTGTTTTTGTTTTTGTTTTTTGTTTCTCTTGGTAGGCCTATGTAATATGTAGTTCAAGCTGCATTTTTTTTCCCAATTTTGTACAATATGGCATTAATTTTGAAATAAAAGATGACTGATAAAAATAATTTTATCTTTGACTTACATTAAGTGAACATTGAAGCTCCTGAGCAAAATATTTGTTTTTGTTTTTGTTTTTTGTTTCTCTTGGTAGGCCTATGTAATATGTAGTTCAAGCTGCATTTTTTTTTCCAATTTTGTACAATATGGCATTAATTTTGAAATAAAAGATGACTGATAAAAATAATTTTATCTTTGACTTACATTAAGTGAACATTGAAGCTCCTGAGCATGCTTGCTAAATGCCAGTTTCTCCTCTTCCAACAATTGTGCTTCCCTTTTCTTTTCATCTAATCTATAAACAAATACAAAAATAAAACAATACATAATGAAGAACTACAAAGATTAAAAAATATAATTCAATAAAATGCGACATAATTGAATATGTTTGTCTCCAATATACTATTTCATGACAACAGGTTTCTATGAAAATCACCATAGTGGACTTACCAAGGCTGGAAAATGTGCACAAATGCAAGACTGGTTTGTCAGAGGCAGTATGCACTCCCCACATGCATTTTTAGAAGGGGAGGGAAATTGATTTTCCTATAAATTCTATTGTTAAATCTATATACTTAATTAGTTAATTTGGCTTTTGGTAAGCACTACATTGTGTAATTGTGTACAGGTTTGGCGCAGGCAATTTATAAGCTATGTGAAATACAGCTCGTCCAGAAGATATATTTAGAATATATTATAAGTACAATAATGTGTTGTTTCATGTTAAAGAATGCAAAACACGCTTCAGAAAAGAATAGAAGATTTTACCAGTGCAGTGACCAATTCTGTATAGGAGGCAGGGGGAGGGAGATGGCGAGGGGGTGGTACTGTATTGCATCTGATATAGTCCTTTGGAGGGCAGCCCAAATTTTCTAGTTTCTCAAAATGTAATAATTATAATATAGTGCATATTGCTATTGACTCATAATGGGACAATAAATCAACATTTTCATGTTCACATAGGCATCACATACTGTATCTCTCTGGATGCATTTTTAGAAGGGGAGGAGAATCAATTTTCTATTAAATTCTTTTTTTAAATCAATTTTCTTTTAAATATTTCACATTAATAAGCATTTCAAGTCTGCATGACAAAATTAGATAGTATTTCCATACTAAATAGTTAAGGCCAAATTAAAAAAAAAAGTAGTTTCTCATCTTAATATTTTTTTGAAAAAAGGAGATGGTAAATCCAAGATCAATGGGAAACAGAGTATTACTTTCTCACTTTTACTAAACACATTGAAAGCAAGTACCAGACATGATTCATACTGTGTCTCCTCAACCATGAACAATTGATAGGAAAATTAATGATGTGAGTTAGCAAGATTTTTGTACATTTTGTAAAATAAAGGAAATTAAAAAAAAAATTGGTGAGGTAGAGAAAATGGATGCGCTAGAGGACTAGAAACTAGCTATATTTTTATTTGACTAAAAGTTGAAATATGTGAATATGTATGTAAATATATCAAACTCCTAAATTACCATAGGTTCAATGGTTATCTTAATGTCGACATGTACATAGGTGGGTGTCATTGTGTCATTTGGTTTACAAAGCTTTAGGGGAATTCCCTTTGCAACAAAGAGTCAATATGAAAGTATAACAATTAGTCAATATGAAAGTATAACAATTACTAAGCTCAAAATCACTGACAATTACTTTCTTTCGATCTTTCTTTAAGAATTCTACAACATACCATATAGGGAATAAAAAAAAACATAATGAATAATACAAATGTCTTAGTTACTTATGAGAGTATCTCTATGACTAATAAATTAATGTACACTATATGTGTTATGCTAAAAACATTTTCAATTTCAATAGACATAATAAAAATGTGAAGTATTTTGTGGTAAAAAGTAAAAGGTAATGGACAATAATTTTATAGGTCTTGTTTTTCACCTCTCATGTGGAGCAAATCATACTTGGCTTCTTTCCATTTTTGAGGTACTGGTACTTGTCCGTGTTTTATGTATGCTATCAATAATTTGGCAAGCCTTTTTGGAACTGTTTCCTCTTTGTCCATATTGTACCTATTTTTATACTATACAATTTACATTATATTTATATTATTGTTTAATATGAAATACTCTAGCTAATAATAAGTTATCAGATGGGTAATCGTTAAGGCATTCTGAGCATTAAGCTGTGGGTGGTCTATCCAGGGATATGAGCGCCCCTTGCCCATGATGAGCTCCAGGATCCTTCTGAGTCAAAGGGAGAGTATCTGTCAGGGTCCCAATCTGGGTTGTGGAAAGTTAGTCTTTTAACCAATAAAACAAAATTTTAAAAAATAAATTTAAAAAAAACATAAAATAATACAAAAATAACTGAATGCATTAGAAAACATAATGGTAGATTCTTAATCTTAAGTGAACACCAGGAGTGGTTCTGTCAATGGCGGCCATGTGTCTTCTGAGGAAGTCAGTTACCACAACAGTCACACACACAACATGTAAAAGCTGGGCCTCCAATTTAGAATCATTAATTAAACTAGGAGGGTCTCAAACCAGAGACAGGCTATGGTCACTGACGTACCACTTACTAATTAACTCACCCAAGCAACTCAGGGGTATACAAGGGTTTCTGCCTGGAAGTGGGGGGTGGGGGAAAGGGTTGAAAATTCCGAATGCAGAACAAAAACCTTATCCAGATGAAAACTAATTGGTAATTTTTGAGAATTTGAACTCGCTTAGAACTTAATAATTCCATAATCCAATAAAAACTTAATGGTCATTTTTAGAACTTTAACCCTCTTAGTGGAACTATTTTGATGCCATGGTGGTGATCCACATCCAAAGTACTGGTGTACTTTGGTTCCGATATTGTTGTTTTGATGCACTCCTCCATGCCTTATAATCATTGTGTTAGAGTTGTTCACAGAATTCTTCTATTTGCTGGAATATTTTGGTCTTGGTCTCATACTACCTTTTTCAATGATTAGATACTAAAAAGATAAACAAACACAAAAAAAACAACTTCCTACCTGCTCTCTGTTAGTTTCATAAATTCCTCCAATTCTTTGGTTTTTCTCTCAATAAGTCCTAAATTAGATTTTAATTGTTGTGTTTCCCACGTCAGCGATTCATTCTCTGTAGTCAGTTGTTGCATCGTTTGCTCTCGTTTCGTCAACTCATTCATAGTCTTCTCACGCTCCATAGCAAGACTCTGAAAACAACCAATAATGATATTTTTAAATTTAAATATTTTATTTCATTTATTTGGCAATACAGTCAAAACTATAATTCTCATTTTCATTAACATCTAGTAATAGTGGAGATATAAACCACTAGAAAATAATGACACACTTTCACCACAAATTCAGTTTGATATGAGTTTCAACAATTGGAAATGGATTCCCGTCACTTGCATACCAAACAATTTTTTTAAAATTAATTTTTCTTTTTTTATGTTTTTATCTCTGACCCAGAATTTTTCAAATCTAATCTTAAATCCTTCCTCTTTAAAATGGTAAACTTTTTTTTAACATCTTCCAGCACTGATGACAAGCCAGTATTTCTTCTTTTTTGGCTTTAACAGGCACTATAGAAATGTGATATTATCATTTATTATTAAATTATTATTATTATTATTATTATTATTATTATTATTATTATTATTAATACTGATATTATTATTATCATTAAAACAAAACAGGAAATTTAAATTTTCTTTTTGAATTGTCATTTTATACTTTAAATATCGTAGTTTTATTTCTATTTCTTTATTCAGCAAACAATAAACACGGAGCAACATGACAAGAAAAAATACAGCAGATCGCCGGGATAACCCATAAAAGTCGCCAAGTGGGAACTTGTTTCCAATTGTGCCCAATCATAGAACTTTGGATATAAGCCAACTCGTATATACACCCACGCTCTACCTTATGGTTGGTTTCATGTACCAGCATTTGCCCAAACAAAAGCCCAGGGTATAGTTTGATCTGACTTTTACAAATACATTTAAAAAAAATATCAAGATTGTCTTTAATATGGCATACAATGCTGAAAATTTGCATTTTGATTGGCCATCCCAATAAAGTAAAATTTTTCATAGAAAAAAAAATGTTGAGTTCAAAGGGAAGGGGGATGGGCTAATACCTGAGAAACTAAAGCAAATTTTTACTTGTTTTAATTAACAGTTGATAAAGTTTGTAAAAATGCTTTCGCAAATTCAATTAGGAAAGATTTATTAGAAATAAAAATAGATGCCACCTGTCCACACCCAATGCATGTTTACAAAGTATGATGTCACAATGCTTCAAGCTTTAAAAACATTAGCACTTATTGTTAGTGACAAGGACATCGTAAGTCTAGATATTTACCCGGAAACTGCTAAGGGTTATATTATTACAAACCAAGTTCTACAAATTTACTCGGTAATTGTTTTTTGAATTAAGTCTTTTTCAAGTGTAGCCTTGTACCAGACTCAGATGTTTCTAATTCATGATCTAGTGCGAATGAAAATAACAGGAAGAGATTTGTAACTGCTTCGTTTGAATCCAGGAGTAGATGACAGTTTGAAGCCATCGTTTCCGAGATCAAAACTCAGATGTCATTACAGATATTCCTATATGCCGGCTTCTATAGCGATGTTTATACAGTTTACAAGCTGTTTATAGTTATTGAACTTTATGTAAATCTTTTAATTTATACAGCCTTCATATTTCGGAATTATGTCGGTGTTTTTATGATTGATATAAAATTTATTGAAAACTGTAATTTAGACATTTTGCAGCTGATAATTAGCTAAAGATGTTTTAAGTGCAACTCTTAATCATGCGAAGTAAACAACAATTTTTGTTAAGTGCACTCACTTTGACTAGTGATCCTAACAACCATTTTCTCTACTGACAAACCATTGATCCCAATATCTAACGTAATTATTAAGATGTTGTATCTCACTTTTTCCTTGTAAATTTTAATTGATGATTAAATGTGTGGTCGATACCTAATACAAAGCGAGCTTTTGTGTTTTTAGTACATTTCGATGGTAAAATATTAGATTTTAAAATGCCTATTCCAAAGCCTATGAAGTCTTTCAGGCGTAATGAACGGTAACCAACTTCTGTTGACAACAGAGAGCACTACCTGGTGTCTGACCACACGACCGTGGTACTCTATGTCGCAAGACATTTAGCGTTCCTGATGATGATGATGATGTATTTCATTTAAATTTACATAAACAAGTCATTGATTTTAGTAGGTTCAGTTATTTTTTTAGTCTATGAAGCTGATGTGGTTATACCTGTACTCTACTTCATTTTTATTTGGTATATGATAACAGCATGGAATATTATTTGTATTGTTTGCTATATTATTTGTATTATAAAACAAAAAGTAGTTCAACCACCATAAACTGAGACATCCACAACCTATGGATGTCATGTATAACATTTTTAATTCTCACAAACCTGAACATTTTTATTCATCAATTTCAAAAATAAAGTTCATTAACAAGGGATAAAAATGACCTGATTTTTTTATTTGACGAGTTTAACAACATTAAATTTTATTGCAGCTGAAAATTGTGATAATTTAGATAGGAATGGGAGGGGTCCCAAGGAAAAAGGAAGAAAGGATGGCAAGGACAAGGATGTATAAATATACTTGTGAACACCTAACTGACTGATAACATAACAAGCCAGACCTTGTACATTCAGGTTCAAAGTGAAAAAGATTAACTAATAGATTCTAAATCTGAAGTGAAAATGAACATTAAAGAAAGTTAATAGCTATTTTCCAAAAAAAAAAAGAAAAAAGGTCTTATGAAGCGCACAGGAGACTAGGCAACATTAGGCCTACTATTATCTGGGTCATTGTATTCACAAGTAACAAATTAGTATATCAAGTGCAAGTTTTTCTGCTGCCTGGGAGAATGGTCGTGCTGCTATGCAATATACGACCACTAATAACAATTAATTAGACAACTCATCTACAAATTTGAACATATATGATGCTTATAAAAATATATATTAAACTTATAACTACTATATTAAAATTCATGCTGTTTATTACGTTTCATACCACCTGATGTCCAATTTTCATGTAGACCTCAGCACGATCTACTGTAAAGCTAATTGACAATGAACTCACTGAGAATCGACCTCAGAATCACAGGCACATAGAAGATCATTGAGTTGATTTTTTTTTTATATGCACATTCAAGCCAGCAAGCAAACTGCTGTATGGGGATAAATTCTTTCTTGTCATTCTTAATATTTGTTATACCACAACTAATTGAAATTTTAAAAAATCTGCATTGACATTTGACTTACGACAAGATCGGTATGGTAGTCATGTGACGCTCGGCTTAACTCCTCCTTGTCATGTGCAACCTGGCTCATGGCACGTATTGTTTCCTCTAATTCCCTAAGAATGGAACAAATACAAGATAATAATGTACAGTATTTAACTGCAATATTAATACAAAGGCATCATTCATACTACAGTATATAGTGTCCCCAGCCACTGCCATTACCACATTCTCCAACCATTACCACTTGGCCTGTCATGTCCTTTCCTGTTTAATATTATAAGTGCAAGGGTCAAACAAATACAATGTGAATGTGTTTTATATTTGCTATAGTTTTATTTTTTATAGACTACTAGTAGACCAATTTACTTTAAATTTCCACACATTGACAATGTGACATTTACCTCGGTTCCCCCTTAAATTTGGTGTTGATCGGATAAAGATAGGCTAAAAACAGAAGTAATATGAGTTTGCAGTTAGTTTACTTGGTTTTAGGTTGGATTTCTCATGGAAATTATTAACTTCTTTGCTTCACATAAATTGTTGTTATACTTTAGGGGCACTACCTCTTTGTAAAAAAAACAAAAAACAAACAAAAAAAAACAAAAACAAAATTGACAATGAGAATATGTGAATGAAGTTATTACTGTTATTATAAATTGTTATTATCAGTCATCATTGTTGCTTTTGTCAGGATCATCAACATAACAATTATTATGTACTATCTCACTCACATAGAATAAAATATCTATAATAACTAAATTCCTTTAATAATGTTGAAAATGTCGGAGAGAGTTAGGCTTACATATAAAGGCTTTTGTTTTCAAATTATTTCAGTTTTATTATATACCATATGATATACTGTTAAAAGGTCAGAGTACTAAACACATGTCTCATAGCATAAAATCACATTAATATGAAACTAAAATATGTAACATTATTGTATAAGAGTATCGTAAAAACACAATTTTGAAAAATATATATACCAGTAGATAATTAATTTGATATGATTTGCATAGTAGAATGAAATTTGTAGTTAAAATTTTTTTCCACACTTAAAATCAAAAAGTTATTCATACACATAAGATTCTCTGTAACTCCATCAGCAAACATTACTAATATAAAAAAATAATAATTCCATAAAACTTGTTACCAATATTATTTTTAAAAATAAGCTGTACTCACAATCGTGTGCGTTCATGTTCATCTTGTAGTTCTCTTGCTGTTTCTTCAATCTTTGCTTTCTCTTTCTCTAATTCTGCAGCCATTCTCTCAAGTTCCTAAAAAATATGAGAAGAAAAAAATACTTTTCTATTAAATATCAATACCAAAAGTCATTTCATTTGTAATCTATATTTTATTATACACATTTAAGTAATCAATAATTTCATCTTATTGTAATTAAAATTATATAATGAATTCAGTTTTAAATTTATCTATGTCCAGTGGACAGAAAGAAATAACTGATTAAAAGTTACTACTGCATTTATGACCAATAAATATTGAAATATATCCACTTTCAATACTGTAACTATACAGATAGTATTTCTTGGTGTTCACATATGGATGGTACTAATATTACCAATAAATTGAGCTAACATTTAATATTATGTAAGTTACCTCTTTTTTCTTTCTTTTATCCTCTCTTTTTTTTCCTAATTTTTTTTGTAGGAGGCCTAGTCCCTATTACCCCCTCCCAGGATCTTCCCCTGTGCACTAGGTCACAATATCTGCGAGCATTTTGCTTGCAAAATGCTAATTGCTCATGGTTTTGTTAGCAGGTAACAGTGAGCATTGCACTGGGTGACAAAACATGTGAGCATTTTACTTGGCAACGTGTACACGCACTGAATCTTATGTGAACAATGTGAGCATTACTTGAAATAAACAAGTGACTAGTGAGCATTTTAATTAAAACAGATGAGCATTGTAGCCTACATGGTAATGTAAAGTGCACTAGGCAATGTGAGGCTTACTAGTATTTACTGATGTGAATGAGCATTATATTTGGTGGTCACAATTAGATTTATGAGCATTATGAGCAATTTACTAGGCAACATGAGCAATTGTAGAAATATACTGAGACAATTTCACTTGGCATTTGAGCATAATGGTAATATATTGCACTATACTTAACATATAGACATTTCCCTGGTTAGAGTGACTAATACATCAACGGGTTACATGAGTTTGCAATACAAGCTGGTGATTGGTTACGTGCCTGAATCAGACAGTTTTTAAAGTTGGGTTCCAAGATTGCTAATTGAAAGTTTCCTATGCAATAACTGGCATTTAACTACATATCAGGCTTTTTATACTGTGAACTTCAATTTTGCTAGATGAAAAGTACACTAATATTAATTCTGACATTAATTAATAATAACAATAATAAATGTATGGAATTGTATCCTATTATTCAGACAATCAGATTTTTTTCTAACTGAATGCTTTAATAGCTTCAGAGAATTTCAGACTTACCAATTTATATAGATTTGTAAATTTATAATATTCTGCCCCTAACATAAGAACACTTACGGTTGAACAATTACAATATCTATTAATATTATTTTTCATTTTAAGATCACAAAACTAAAACAAAAAAGGTAAAAAAATTATATTTTAACCAGTACTGACTATAACTGAGAGACTGATCAATTTCAACAATCCTTCTTCTTATTTATCTTCTAATATTTCCCAGACTCAATGAAAAGGTTTTAGCTTTAATCCAGTAGGATTTTTAAAAATATTGAGATATTATCATTATATTTTTTGAAAAATAAACTATAAAAAAAGTGAAAAAACCCCCCAAAATGTGAAACATTTTTGTCTATAATGCTTATTTTTGTTTGGAGAAGTGTCTGGACTACAAATCAGAAAAATAATTTCATTATTTCTTAAAATGTATTTACTTCTAAAATAAAAAAAAATTTAAACTTTACAAAATTTTAATTATGAATTAAATAGAAGCACATTCCTATACTTTGCATACTGTACCTGTATATGCAATTAGCTTCTCTTTCTATGATGGTTCACGGAATTTTAGAAAAGAAAAGTGAAACAATGTGAAGATATTAATTGGGGCATCTTGCTTTCAAATTAACTCTTCATTAAATTATTAAGAAATAATTTGTTCCACACAAAAATGCAAATACCAGTTGGAGGGGGGGGGGGGATTGTGTCTTGTAAATGGTAAATCAAGAGTTGCACCAGTGAAGCTAAGGGGAGGGGGAAATTTTATATATTTGATATACTGATCAAATTTCAATTTAAAAAGTTTTCAAAGTTTACTATTACAAAGCTAACAGTCATGTTCAAATCCACTCGGCCGTCCCGAGGCAAAACAACGTAACTGATATTTTTGTCGATTTGAGATAATATCATTTGGGATTAAATTAAACACGTCTGAATTACCTGTGAAACTTTCAGGTCTCAATAATGATTCGTTTTGGAGATAGCACCACCTATCTTTAAGGACAAAACTTAAAATCTATTTATTTTCCGTGGCAAAACAACGTAACTACAAAAGTATGTGGCAAAACAATGTATCTGTGATGAAGATACATTGTTTTGCCACAGAATGGTATTCAAAAATGATCTTGAGCCGATGGAGATTGGCAAGGCAAAATCAAATGGTTGTTTTTATATCAATAATCTTAAACAGTAATGTATGAACAAGCTAGGTAATGCATAAGGTTGCCCCAAACGTGATAAATTCCAAAAATATGTCACACGTGCAACAATACGAAGCCTGACATGTTTCCGTGGCAAAACAATGTATCTGTAATTATCGCTAATAACTTTGCAATAAACAAATGGTTGTAATTAAAATTTATTGCGAAGTTATGAACATGCAAACTTTAACTCTATTTTTCTCCAAAAGTGAAAATATCAAGTTATGTTGTTTTGCCACGGAACGGCCGTTGATTGAGTATATTCGGGAAAAATGTGGTCAGATAATATTAATTTTACCTGTAGAAACAATGCCCTCATTTGATTGAACCCAATAATCCTCCCCTCAACAGTAATTTTCCCCTTTCCTTGGAAGACGCTGACAAGGAAACTAAAAGACAAGAAGCTCTAAAATGTACTGAGTCATTCATTATGCTAACAAGACAGATCACACTGACTTTATAGTTAGCCACAAAAGGGCTTCACAATACATGGACATACGGAAGGTCAGATATATTATACACCAAACATAACTGAATATCATGATTTACATTATAAAAGATAAACAAATTTAGTTATTTGAAAATAAAATATATTCAAACACAGAACACTATTTCTTCAATACCTTGAATAACTGTAAATCTTTTAAAAATAATAGTTAAAACAATAAAATGGAAGCTTCCCCCTCCCCCTTTCCCAATCTGACTTTAATACACCATAAAAGTGTCAAAAACCTTCATTTGACAAAAAGAAAGTACAAAGTTTAAAATTCAAAAATAATATCTATTTCTCTTTTGTTTAATAAATAACATTTCTTAAATTAAACAAATATAAGAGGGGCAAAAACCCCAAAAGCAAGGAGTGGAGGGATTCCCCAAACAAGAAACAAACACAATACACACACAAAAGAGAACAGTGGTGTGACGTGACAGGAATGGACAGACCAAAGCACCCCCCCCCCCACCCAAGAAAAAAAACAAAACAAAACAGACAAATCTACTCCCTGGATGCTCATGTAATCAAAAACATTTGAAGAATAGGAACAAACTTGAAGGACAAGTATATTCAGGGGTGGATCCAGAGATGTCTGAAAGGAGGTTAAAAAGGGGGCTGAAAGTGGAGTCAATCAAGACAACACTACCCTAGGGGATCCGGTGGCATTCCCCTGCAAAATCGTTGTTTTCTAGATTCCTGAAAATGACCTCTGAGGTGTTTTGGATGATGAATTATTTCTCTTTCTGTCTTTCTTTTTTTTAAAAAATCCTCCCGATACTGAATATTATTCAGTAAAGAAAGCAACAATTGTGAATTTAATAGCTCCAAGAAACAACTGAACTGTTAAGCAGTAAACTCAAACAACAATGGTGAATAGCTTATGCAAAACATTGAAAAACAACCAAACCTTTATATAGTGTATCTCTCCGGATTAAACAATAATGGTGAGTAAGATAATACATAATCCATGTGAGTACTTGTGTAAATTCCTGTAAGATGATTCTGGGAGCCATTTTAGTAACTACAACTGTAGAACTCAATTGCATCATTGTTCTGTGTGTGTATATGAAAGTGAATAAGATATTTGCAATACCATAAATGATTTAAATAATTCCTCTCTCTTGAAATGCACTCTATGAAAATTAAAAAAAATAAATTTTGTACTCAAATTAATGATATTCTATTTTCAATAAACATGGTGCCATTTTTGATTCTCTAATAATTTGTAAGGATTGTGTCACTCTGGAATAAGTGCTACACTCTAGATTATGTTTGGTAGTCTATTCCTACATACAGTACAGTGATAAATTTATGGCTCTAAGTTTAAGAGTTGTTGTGAACCTTTATATTAATTGTGTGAGTTGTATAAATAACTTTGGATGATCTGTTTGTCCTAATGACATGTGTTTGTCCTTTGTAATGTAAAAAGATTCTAATAAATTATTGTATGATTATATTTTTGTCCTATAGGTTAAAAAGTTAAATGTACAGAAAGCAGAATAAACCATAACTTGCAGCTATATTGTGTTGGATTGCGTATTGACCATTGTATAGGGATCTTCCATGTAAGATGCAATAGGTTCACAAGCCAGATTTCTACACTAGACATCCATTTTAAGTCCTTATCCAAGAAAACGTAGCTCTACCAATCGAACCCTAGATGAGAAGCGGCTCCAACCAGCGCCAATGTTAAGGCTGCAGTTAGCGGCACCCCTTTTCATAACCCACCTATTAAATAGATCCTTGTCATTTGATTGGTGGATTTATTATTATGACTAATGGGACAATAATCCATTTTTTCAATTGTGTTATTCTTCATGAACATTAAGTTCCAATTCTGTGCATTTTTGTGGTTTATATCATTCCATTGCATGTATACACTACAGGCACTTTGTATGCACTTTAAATAAAAAATTTAAAAAATATATATATGATAGTGACATTTTCATTGTCAATGAACCTACATCTGAAACTATGACAATTCACTCATACTAACTTCATACTTTTTTTTTTCTGAGAACTGCAGCCTAAACTGAATCACTGACCAGTTCCTTCATCATGACACTTACTAATTTCCTTATTCTCATCTTGCGTCACTGAGATGAACTGGATTAAACACCAGACAACAAAGATGCCCGCATTCATGACAAATGCTTCACAAACTGCTCATGGCACATCAACTAGGTTTGCCATCTTTCTCAATCAATTAAAACACACCAAAATTATTCAATGAAGTGACAGCCGGATTTTAAGGTTTTAAGGACAGGGCAGCAGGAAATAACTTAATCCAATAAACTCATCCTAGTCAATTTTTTATAGCTAAATAAAAGTGAACTAAAAGTCAGAAGTTTCAAAATAAATTCAAATGACTTTTGTTTAAATTTGGATGTCAATATTTTTTTAAATGGTGGAGATGAAGAATTAAAGATATACTGTCACTCGAAAAATCGTAAAAAAATAATTTTGAAATTAACTTGCTCATTTTGAAGTAACATACAAATTATTAACTTTAGCATAGAAATTATTGAATTAAAAAAATGAGTACACTCACAACGTGCAAAGCATTTGTTTAGTTTATTGCCTGTCTGTTATTTGCAGTCGATCTAGGTCTGTAATTTGATGGCAGCTATTGCTAATTAAGGTCTGAATTTCCTATAGCAATAAATTTATATGGTACATTCAATAAAATTATTGCTATGCATGAAATATCAAGGTAAATGTATATAATGCAGACCAGGAAATACAATCAGGTTCAGGGTGGTGTGTGTACAATTTACATTTGTTAATAGTATGTCCACAGTGGTTGATTCAAGGGGGAGGCAGCTTTCTCTTCCCCACCAAGTTTTAAAAATTATTTTTTTTAATGGAGAAAAAAAGAAAATTATATTCAAATTTAAGTCTGAGAGTGCCAGTGCTATAATAATAAATTTTCTTACCTCAGCCCCAACTACAGTGATGATCTAAGCCCCCACCACTCCCCCATCTAGACCCTCCCTCTGTTAAAAATCCCTCCCAGGGCCCCCTCTATTTTAAATTCCTGGATCCACCACTAGTCCACTGTGGGAACATGTGACTCACCTCATTCCTGTCCATCTCGTCGCGAAGTGCAACGGCTTCGGAGTGCCAATGGTCTCTGTACTTCTGGCCGTCTTTCGCTAGCTCCAGACTCTGTTTTTCTAGTGTCTGAATCATACTATCTCCAAGTTCAGCATTCTTCCATGTTCTGAATATACAAGTTAAAGTTGATGTTTAACAGTCTTCAAGAGCAATTAACTGTCTTTTTTAGTACTAAACTAAAGCTTAAAAAGGTTCTAGATTTTGCAATGGAGGTCAGTTCTCATCCCTTGGTGATCAATGATGGTGAAATTTTGAAATAAGGAATATGTGAATTAATTGATTTAATATCATTCTGTAAATAGTTGAAGTATGATAATAATCCCAGCATGTAACAATGTTTGATCAGATTTTCTTAAGCCTATCCACACTATCAAATTGTATGACAAAATCATGTAACATGTAAATATGGTCATGATGATATCACATCATGAATATAGGCACATCGTAACTACTCTATATATTAGCATACAACAGTTCTTTTTTTACATTAAAATTTCTTATTTCAGATGTCTGAACAAACTTATCCTAAGCTCTTAAAAGAAGAATTTATCAATAATCAAACAAACATATAAATAAAAAAAAAAAGGTTTTACTTAACTGCTAAAGTACCGAAAGAAAAAAAAACTAGCATACTAGCATACAATATATTTAAACAATTAATTTAGATATGCCTGAATAGAGGCTCTAAATATTGTAAATTATTTGTTATTTATTTATTTATATATTCATTTGTTATTTCAACAATCTTTAATGATGGTGGTAAATCCAGCCAAAGCTGATCATTTGGGACCCTCAATACACACAGTGAAACAAAATCTGATAATGTACGTACAGTATGTCTGTCTTAGAGAGTACATTAACAAGATATTTTATGTATGTTTCGAAATTTGTATGGATAGAAAGAACACATAAATTCACTTTAATATATGATTTGAATAGAAATTGACATATACAAGTTATTATGGTAATGTCACATTGCCGTGTACAGTTTGTGGTTGTCTGGTTATAAAAAAAAAAAAAAAATGTGAGTCAAAATCATCCCAAGTTGATAAGCATATCAAAAAAGTATTTAATATTGAGGATTGGAAATTGTGTGTGTGAAGAAGGGGGAAATTTTCCTATGGTGTACAGAACCTGGCCCAGATCAGTGGCATATCCAAAAGTATTAGCAAGGAGAGGGTTCGAGGGAGATGTAAAGGGAGCTCTGGGATATGGTGTAATTATTTTTGCTCAGGAATTTTTCAGTGTCAGAAGGCCTGGGAAAGCAACATTTTTTTTTGCTGTACATCATCCTCTTCATTAACCACTGCCCCACATGCCGCTACTAGGTAAATATTAACTGAATATTAATGTAAACACAGTAGAGCAACTTTTAATTTATTTAGGCCAAAACAGCGTTGAATGTTATCAGAAAATTTCCTTTCCTTTAGGTTCAAATATATACTCTGATCATACACTTCCACTGTGAGTTAAATTCATAACGACACAGTAAATTTTATGCAGAATCACTGAATATAAAGTCTACCCTAGAGGGAGGGCATGATACTATTGGGTAATGTGTGATAACATAAGTTGTGTATAGGGAATAATGTGGGGCACAGAGAATATGGCAAGTTGGGATTTAATCTCTATAAAATACTTAGTAGGTTCTGCTATATGAGGAAGCAAAGAAGACAAGCACTAGAGCCCTGTCTGATCATGAAATTACTGAGTCAAGGAAATTTAGATATAGGCCTACTAGATTCACTTGTTTCCTAAAAATACAGATTAAATGAAAGAAAATTTAATGATTTCTGTGTAAATATATATTAGCTCGTAGAGAAAGAAACAGTAGTAGAATTAATTTATAATTTATATGAATCACAGGAACTAATTTACTTTTTATATATTTGTTAGATAATCTGAAACAGAAAGAATATTGTATTGAGGAAATATATACTATACTTTTTTTAAATATCAAACCAGTGACATATTCATCTTTTTAACCGTTTGTGTGTTTTGCCAATAGGGGCAGACCCAATGGGGAGGAAACAAAGGATATGACCCCAAAAAAGTGGAAAAAGAGAGGAGAAAAAGGGGAGCACTTTACTGTAAAACAAGTTTTTTCTTTTTTATTTAAATTCCATATACTTTTGTCTATTGTCAGGCATTTCTGAACAAAAATCTTAAACACTACTGCCTCAACCACCACCTCAACCCCTACTCAGTGCGTCACAGACACAGCATAGCCCCTACCCAGATTTTCAATGTCTACAGCTTATTGTTGTTAATGCAACAAATTAAATATGCCACTAACATCCTCAAGTTACAATATCCCTTGAGGGTCACAAACCACCTGGGGCCTTGTAAAGGCACCTGCGAGACAGAACCCCACAGGTGTAGCAAACACCTGCTGCTACCGTTGCACTACATTCAAATTAGAGGATGCTACACATGCTATCTCAATGTAAGATTTGTGGCAGTATACCTGCGATAAGAGGAAGAATTTGTGGATGTGGTACACCAGAGAAGCTTTGTCTCACTCTCATAGGGTTGTGAGTCAGCTGTTGTGAGTGCCAGTCAGAGAACTGAGCACACTATTTGGCACTTTTGTAAGGCTATAATGTAAAACCACCCTCTATGAGTTGCAAGACGACCAGCATGGTCCTGGAGCATGATGTGAATAAAGAGTTCAGATCATTGGATATTGTTGTCACACCTCATTGTTCTCGTCTAATAACAGGCACATTGTTTAAATGTTCTTGGTAGATATCTTCATAATAGAAGGAGAACAAATATGTCCAGAATTTACAGAAAGGAATCTGAGTAGACGAGAATAAATTTACCCAAATACGTTTTATTAATATTTTGCCGTTTCTTATAATTTATATTTTATATTATGTATATTGAATTTTATGTTCTCCTGAGAAATAATAAAATGATTGATTAATAAAATAATGAATTAATTGATTAATAAAAGATGCAACATTAAAAAAGTAACATGGCTTATAGCCTAGTAGTATCCCCAGTCCTCCCATGAACAACAGGCCTATTTTTTTGTGCTGCGATTAGAAGGAGCATATTAATAAGTTTAGCATACAGTTTGTAGTGCATTATTCTTTTTACTGATTTTCAGTACTTAATAACAAATATAATATGACTAAACTAATTTATTTATTTTATTTTCAGATACACAAAAGCCTTTTACCTGTTAGTGGAGGTTTCTATCTCTGTTGGTTGGGGATTGAATGAAACAAATAAAATAACGAAATTCCAATTAAAACAGACTTTGAAGACATTCGATACCTCTCTATCTCTGGGTGTTATTTAGGAGTTAATACAATTTATTTACTGTTGGTTTTGAACTACTCCAGATTGTGTTTAATGTTGATAAAAAAAAATCTACATTCTATAAATGTATTTACTATCTATCTCCATTTGATTCATACTGACAACCACTACACTAAGCTACACCTCCCCTCCCTACGGAGCTCTTGGGTAGAAAACATCCCACGATTACTGATGACACGCAAGGATGTTTTCAGAACCTGTTCCTTCCTTGTTAGACTTCAGAATTTATACGGGCAAGAACACCAATTAAAAGTTGTACGACGACATGTGGCGAGAGCGCAAAACTGGTCTATGTCGGAAATCATTCGCAGACACTCCATAGAGATAGATTTTGAGATCTTTATGCGGATATGCGTGGAAACTATTAATTATGTGTTTGCAATTCAACATAAGAATATTGATAAATTCTGTAATTTGAAATATCATTGGATAGTCGTCATAACAGTTGATATATAGAGAATATTTAAACACACAGATGCTTGAACAAGGTTTTCTGTATACTTCCTAATACGATAAAAAAAAACTGAGTACAATATTTTATAATTAATATGAGTAATGATTCATACAGGTGAAATGAAAGTAAAGTAATTTAATTGGTTCTAAGGAACTAGAGAAAAACTGTGTGCGGCCCATTCATGATTGACCCAAAAGTCTGGATATCTAGGATTGTCTTTTTATTTCATTATTGAATTTTTACTACAAATACATTGACAGTTTGAGTGACTTTGATACTTTCTGATATTTTTTTTTTATCATTTTACCAAATAAAATGCATGGCATGGCAAGAATCAGAGTTGGCAATGAACCCTAATATTAGGCCTTCCAGCCAACTCACCAGGCCTGATTTTGAAAATCACAGCACGTGGTAACACAATTTTTTTGGCCTTAACACCAACTTTTTAATACCTATAATTTTTTTAAACATAAATGCTCTACTTTTATTAACTCCCGCTTACAATTTAAGTATGTTGAAACAGAAAGTTCATTAATTCACAATATTTAGGTATCTAATCATATTCACTACATATATTGAAAAAAATATTATATCTATCTATATATATTCTGGTGAGTACACTGCCTCTCTGAAGTGAGGATCATCAAGTTACAAAAAAAAAAACCAAAATAATATGTAACAAAAAGCTGTGGTGGTTCTATTGCCCTATTGAAAACTGTGACACTAAATGTTGAGATGGCAGTAGTAGTGAGTTCCAGAGACAATGCAGATGCAGTAGAGTCCCATTAGGGACACCCTTGGGACCAAAAAAAGTGTCCCCTGACTAGGGATTGGCCATAGTGTTAAAAGATATACTTTCCTTTATTCCATGCACAAAAAGTATCTCAAAGGAGATGGTTTTGCTGTATAAAACAAAAAAACAAAAACACACAGACAAAAAAAAAACAAAAAAAAAAACAGGGTTTGGATCTATGATTCCATAGTTAGTAATATATTTTTATTGCATTAATTTCTTATCATACTTTACTACATACAGCTATGTACACTGAAAGATGAGTGTTGCAAATTTGTACAAAATTGTTGTAGTTGATAAGAAAATACATAAGAGAATTATGGAACAGAAATCCTGTGTGATTAAAGAGGAAAGATATAAATTACATATAAATTACAAATATTAAATATTAAATGCTATAGACCAAAAAAACATATTGATGATCATGATGAAATAGCATAATCTTTTGTTTTTAGTTTATGGTTTATGTAATATAAGAACATTTTAATTAGCAGATGATTTAAGTAGCGTAATTTATTTATTTTTTTTTTTTTCTTGTTCTGCGCATATAGAGACCATGTACTTTGCCCTATATGTCTCCAACAATTACCATTACTGTTATTTATATAACACTTTTCTTTTCAGATAAGAAGCATTTCTGCCAGTGTCCCTGATCATTGGGTCCAAATGCTTAAGTGTTGCTGTTGTAATCAGCGCAGAAGCTGGCAACCCCATCAGTGTAAACAATTTATCTCAAGGACACAGACAAATGCAGAGCGAGGAATTGAAACCCTGAACTCCATTTTGGGAAACCTAAGCATTTTCGCTGCGCCAAATTTCTACTACATAATATTATATTATATATAAAAATTATCTTGTAAATGTTTCAAATCTATCATTAACTCATTTCCAAGATCAAATGGAGATAGTAATATTAAATGAAGAAGATAGAGGAATTGAATGCAGTCACATTGTTTCAAAAACTCAGTAATATCATCCTGTTGAAAATGTAACATCCTGATCTCTTTATCTTGTGATTGGCTCTATCTTTATCTACATGGACCAGATCATCAATTTAAAGCTCTGTCCACACCTTCAAATTTTCTTTGACAAAAACTGCAGTATGCCCATATATAGTCATGTGCCTGTATATGGTCATAATGTGATGTTATCATGACCATATTTAGGCATGTCACATGTTTTGTTAGTCTAGATAGGACTTTATAGACCAGAAGTTCAATTTAAGACTTTCGGGAAGCAAAAATAAAAATTAAAAGAATTATAGATCTTGCTTTGTTTAGATACAAAAAAAGATGTAATTACTTTAAATATGAAAAGCAAAAATATACAGTTAATTGTTAGAAAATGCTGACTTTTGGGTAACAGTTAAATAATCCCATAAAATCAGAAAATCCAGATATAAGAAATATCTGCTTAGGTCAAGGAAAAATGTTTAATTGGAAACCATTCTTCAAAATAATCTGCTTGTAAAAAGTGTACCTTATTTATAGTGACCTTATTTGGTATTTTTGTTGTTGATTCTATTTACAGTATAATATACAAATAGTTATATAGAAATTCAAACAAGCTATCCAAACAAGCTATCTACAAGTAAACCCAAAACTAAACTAAAAAAATATTATTGTAATGAAATGAAACATTAATCATTCAATAAATGAATGAATTAATTAATCAATTGCTGATATTTCTATTACACCATATTCTACAAAGTTCTGCTCAAAGAGCAAAAAAATTAATTATCAAAATTTAAAAAAATGTAAAAAATAAACAACTATGCTATTACGTGACTTGGAGAAAGCATAAGAAAGAGTATACTGTACTAATAAGCCTCTTTTCTTCTGGTTAAATTGCTCTATAGTTTACTTGATAGTAGAACAGATTACCCTATTCCAACAATCATATGGAAAATTAACTGTTTCTATTAGTAACATGGGTTATTTAAATACCATTAGGATGTGCATTGAGTTTAAGTAAATATGAAAGTCACTCCAAAAATATTCCTGATGATGCTTAAATAAAATGGCCTTGTCAATTTTTGGAGTGACATTCAAATATATATACAGTATATAATTAATGCTTATTAGTCAATAATTTATTAATATGTTGAATTATTATAAATTGAATAACTACTACAGTGTGTCTACATTTAGTAACATGAATGATAGAAATTAAGAGCAATACTCACATTCGAGCTGATTTGCACATCATTTCACACCAACGTTCTCTCTCATTTTCTGTTTCAGTAGCTAAAAATATATCGCCCTTAAAATGAAATTAAAAAATAAGTGCTGCGTTAGTTATAAATTTTGTTCAGGCTTTATATTCAAAAGATGCAATCTCCAAGAATATAGAGATACATGCCATATATAAGACACCAGTGGCAGCATCAGCAGGGAGTCCAAGGACCCAGGACCCCCAGCATCAACAGGGAGTCCAAGGACCCAGGACCACCAGCATCAGCAGTGAGTCCAAGACCCAGGACCCCAGCATCAGCAGGGAGGCCAAGGACCCAGGACCCCCTAGGTGCAGGCACCTTGGACCCCCTGACAGGAAAGAAGCTATTAATTTTATTGGGAACACTGCTCTGGAAAAGCATTTTTACAGCCTGAGAGTGCCATTTCCAGCATATAGGGATCATTATTCTTAAAACCTGCCCCTACCATGGTGAGGGCTAAGAGAGATTTGGGGACGTTTCGGAGACCATGAATTGTTCGTCACAGAATCAGTGATGGCCACTGTCAGATACTCAAATTGCATATGCTGCATACTTTTTTTTACTTACGTTTAGTTCATCATTTTCGATGCGAAAAGCCCAGCTTTTACAGGAATCATCATAACTGACAACATTGCAGCCTCCCAGAGGAATAACACCCTGGAGGAAAAAAAAAAATTGCTGGGTATTTAGTATTTATTATAATGATTTTTATTAATTACATCTACTGTTACTTTTTTTGTATTTAACTGAACCACTTTAGAAATCAGTATATCGTATTAAAAGTGTATTTTAGAATAAAGAACGAATAAATAAACAAATATTGCCTACAAAGCTCTTTCCTCGGTGATGCCCATGAATAGAATTCTGGTTTTGTTCAAATTTATTCACGTTTTAAAAACACAGTACTGCATTAGACCTTTAATCATTGCAGATTCTGGTTTATTTATAGATTTCAATCCTCATTGAATACAAAAACAGAATAAATTCTAATTGTCCTTTTTTTTCAAAGAATGGTAATTAGTGCATTTAAAATACATGTACTGGTATCTCTAAACTTCATAAAATTTAACCTGAGTGATTGACATTCAGTGAAACAAGAAGTGTAATCAACCATGAAGCTACTTAAAGTCTGAAATAGGGACCTATGGCGGAAGTAATGAATAATACCTGTATGCAAATTAGCATTAGAATTATTATCTTTTGAATGTCAAGGCTACTGGTTAATAATGATAATGTAGTCTCTATGGTAAAATCTGAAAAAAACTCTCAAAAACTCAATTATTTTATATAAATATATTAATAAACATTTATTATTAGTAACATTAATGCTATCGCTATATAAATGCTTTTTAATAATAATAAGTACATACTTTGTATTATTTAATTTCTAACTTTTAACAAAATTGTTCTCAATTACAGATCTTCCTCCAAGTAAAGACCATTTGTGGGACCAGTATTTCCATGGTCTTTAGCAGCTTTGGTTTGTAATTATAAAAATAAGATACAAGACATTAGGACCACATAAATATGGTCTTTACCTATAATTGGAGGGTTACTTAATTAGAGAGAGACCTTTGATGCAAAAACTATACTCTGTATTTTTGCATAAACCCTTTAAAATTTGGTTGGTAATATCATCAGTCCATGGTAATATCAATTAAATCAGTGAACCTGAAAAGATAGTTTTTATGATCTTTATCTCACTGAACTTACAACTTTATACATTTAAGCAATTCAGTGTATAGGATCTAAATATGTTTAGGACACTTGCATTGTTTGAACAAACTTTATTTCATATCCCATTAATTTACTGTACTATACAAAGTAACAAACACAAATCTTTAAAATGAATGATAGTATGATTAAATAACTTTTGTATTTGAAAATAGTTTACAATTGACTAACTCACAGGAGAAAGTCACTCGGAAGCAATGGCAATTGTGGCCAAAATACAAGTACAAATGTACATACTTAAAATAGCATCTTAAGTATTTCCTGTTGGCAGAATGACAGAAATTAAAATTGGCAGTCACATACTGTACCTGTACTGTATATTATATATAGCGTACAGTATTTCTTTGTTCACCAAATATTATAAGTTCCTTGAGTATAAAGTGGGCTCATAATCAGTTGTCAAGTTTTTTGGATTGTTTATTGTCAACTAATACATTTTAGGAATATTCAATAATATGATTGTTTACATTATAAGTTATTAGTTTTAAATTTAAAAAAATTAGAATGTTATGTAGTTAGATTTATATAGGGCTTTCTACCGAAATGGTCTCAAAGCGCTGGAGGTGTGGCCTAGCTCTTAGTAACTTGCTTCTCCCAGGGGTTTTTTCGTGTCTAGGCTACCCAGTAAATCAGTACCAGTTATTGTACTCTCGTCCACAACAGGGGCTGAATGGACCAGTACACACTTAATAGGAAAATATTTTACTTACTAATTAAGATGCCACTCAAATACTAGTATCCATTAATATTTTTGACACTATATTCTGGTAAAGGACTTCCACAACTTGGTAAATTTGGAAAAACTGTAATTGTTCAATCTGCGTCCAATTGGAAATTGATAAAACATATTCATATTAGCTAATAACAATATTGATTTATTAGAGTAAAATTTTCAAAAATGTTGGTTTCTCTATTGTTCTAAATAATAAAAGAAAGTGATTGACTTCTGTTTCAGTTTATGAAACTTTTGCATTAACATTTAGTGCTAGTTAATTCTTAAATTTCTCACATTTTACTATTTTTTCTTTTACTACTTTTTTCAATGCTAAAACGTCTCCAATATCTTTTTAATCAAAACATGTTTCCTTCAGTTTATTAGTCAGTATGACTTATATATCAACCATTTTGTTTCAATTATACCTTAAACTATACAATTTTAGTAGAAGGTAAAAACAAACATATAGGAAATGCAATCGGGAAATAATACATTTGTGTTCTTTTATGACTAAGAGATTTTTTTTAGCACACCAGCTGAGAAAACTTCAGATACTTGGAGGATACCAGCTTACGGTACTGATAGTCAAATAGAGATATTTCAGCAATGAATAATTAGATATCCTGTAGTATCTGTAGCAATTCTGACCAACATTTACATCTAAATCCTACAGTCAACTGTTAGGATATTTTTAGCACTATCAAAATACAGAGATGATGGTTTAATACGGCGTTTAAATTTTTCATATATTTTTTGTGTTTGTGTTAGTTTATTGTTTCAGGGGCCACAATGGAAGTAAGTCAGCCTTTTGGCCACATTATTGAGTTTTATTATCCCAGAATTCTGTGAATGATATTGTATGTTTGTATTGGTGTGATTGTTTTTGAATTTAAAATTAAAAAAAAAAAAAGAAGAAGAATATATACCCAATGATACTGTAAGACAATATAAGTCAGGTTTAAATCAACAATATGGAGATTTCTCAAACTTCTGAAAACGATAACGAATACTAATACGTCATCTTCATTATCGTCATTCGTGCCTAGAGCATTTTTAGGAATACATAGAGATGAATATGATCATTGATTCATTTATAAGTCATGGATTGCCTATTTTGTGACAGATGCTACTGTTTTCAATTCAATTTAATTCAATTCAAAATTTGGTAAGCTTGCGAAAACGGCCAAATGAGACGACACTCAATGATCAGGAACTACAGTCAAAACTTCTGAATGAAATAGTGGAGTAAAAAATATCGCAAACAACTACAGTACAGTATTCTGGAGTATCTTGAGTATTGATGTTAACCACACCAAGGATATCCCACTAAGTCCGAAGACTTGTTTCTAGTGGGGTCCTTCCGGTGGTGAATAGGGCAGTACACCAGAAGACAATCCCCATTCCGAAGTGTGTACTGCGTTCTTTAACATGCACTTAGGCCATAATGCAAATGGAACCAATGGCTTAAATAGCTCTATGCAAAAGACAGTGCACTATCATAACTTGTCATATCAGCTTTTTAGCTGAAATACAAGGAAAGCAGCGGAGCTGAATTTAACTCTGGATAAAAGGATCTCCATGGGTCAGCGCAGACACAGTAGGTACCACTAGTATAGCCGACTGGGCTATGCTGCTCTATTCTGTTGGTAAATGTTTATTTAATACATGTTTGAAGATTTCTAGCTGACTCACAGTCTAACACCAGTCACTGCATGAGTGCAATCAAGCATACTCGGAGGTAAAGAATGAATGATAATAAACTGAATTAATTTGTTATTCAACTGATTTTAAGAAAACATTATGGTCTGTACAAAGAATTGCAGTTATTTGTACTTCATCTTCATGCCAACTAGGCTTTTAATATGTAAATGTACTATAATTTGGTTACCATGAAATTATTGTTTGTTTGCTTGATTCATTGTAATTGTTTTTGTTTTAATAGATTTTTATATTAATTGTAGAGTATTAATTGATTTATCGATCAATAAATCAATCATTGATCGATCAACTGAATGATCAATAATAATTGATCAACCTATTAATGATCAGTCAATTAAAAGTTAATAAATCTAAAAAAAGGAAAGTATTATTAAACTGTATTTATTGTGCAACATGCAATAATAAAATGGAAAGATTAATCTCAGATAAGATAATATAATACATACTCCAAGTACGTATTATACTATCTTACCTGAGATAGTATAATAGATACTCCAAGTATCGAAATGAACGCCATCGTGTCAGGATTCAATATTTCGACATTATGTCATCCGATGACATAATTAACACTCTGACTTAATTTTAATATGTTCAATTTTATTGTAAAAACACTATGATTACTATTTTGATTCTACATTTTACCAATAAGGCATTGTAACTACTGTAAAATTAGGGCAGGGCCGGCTACATTTAAAAAGGTCTTGCGATTACTTTACAATCTGCTAGCCTGACAATTGGTAAATTAGACAAGCACAAGTTCCTGACAGATATGAGACACAATTTTCAATTGACGTTTATGAGAGTTCAAAGGTCAGTGAGGCATAACTTACCTTAGGATGCATGTTAAAGTATCGTCTTTTCTCAAATTCACGTTTTTCATTTTCCGGATAATAGAGCAGAAAGCCTTCTTTGATGATGAAAAATCTAAATTAAATATAAAGAGATTACAAGATTGAAATGATTTCTATTTTATTAATTTATTTATTGATATTTTTTTTTTAAGTTTATCTTTGGTTCAAATAACAAGAATTTTTGTGTTACCATGTATACAGTATTCAAGAAAACTCCCTCTAAAACTATTATCTAAAAATATGAAAAATAGGTCTATAGAATAAATGGTATCCTAGTTTACAACTGTAAAGTCCACAGAAAAATATAAGCATTCATCCATAGCTTATAGTAACTGTTTGTGAACTTGTATTTTATATAATGTTGTTGTCTATATTTATATCGTAAGTAAGCAAAGCTATAGTATATTTAAATTGGTGGCATTTTTATTTATTTTTTTAAATTTATTTATTCAGGTATAAAAAGGCTCAAAATACAATTCAAGATTGAAATGAAGAGCTTACATAAAATCAGTGAAGAAAAATACAGAAATATAAAATCAGCAATTAACATTTGAGAAAAATTCCAAATTACAAAAAAATTTAATTATTTATTATTTACAATTAATATTAAAATTTCAATCAGCATAAATTGATTAATTAAATCAATTAATTAGAATTTTAAGCTATTAATATATACAAATTTCATTAAAAACAGTTAACAGTCATAGCCCTATTCGAACAATTACATTACACATTAAAAAAATCAATAAACAAAATAAAACCAGTTCAATTCAGGTTTCAGAGGTCAAATTGCTGTCAAGAATATGAATTGGCTGCTTCGCAGCAAATATGAAAAATAGGTCTATAGAATAAATGGTATCCTAGTTTACAACTGTAAAGTCCACAGAAAAATATAAGCATTCATCCATAGCTTACAGTAACTGTTTGTGAACTTGTATTTTATATAATGTTGTTGTCTATATTTATATCGTAAGTAAGCAAAGCTATAGTATATTTAAATTGGTGGCATTTTTATTTATTTTTTTAAATTTATTTATTCAGGTATAAAAAGGCTCAAAATACAATTCAAGATTGAAATGAAGAGCTTACATAAAATCAGTGAAGAAAAATACAGAAATATAAAATCAGCAATTAACATTTGAGAAAAATTCCAAATTACAAAAAAATTTAATTATTTATTATTTACAATTAATATTAAAATTTCAATCAGCATAAATTGATTAATTAAATCAATTAATTAGAATTTTAAGTTATTAATATATACAAATTTCATTAAAAACAGTTAACAGTCATAGCCCTATTCGAACAATTACATTACACAATAAAAAATCAATAAACAAAACAAAACCAGTTCAATTCAGGAAGTACATTGCCAATTATCCAAATTAATCTTTGTTTAACAGTCGAATAATAGTTGACTTGGCAAATTTTTTTGTTTGACAGCGTGGTACAAAATACCGATTTTGTACCACGCTATTTAATTATGTGGGTACGCTGCACCATAATGATTAATTCACATGTTTGGTGCCTGTTTCAATTCGAAAGCTGCCCCCTTGTGTTTCAGCTGGCTTAAATGCAAGTTACAATCAGTCTTTCGGAAGATTACTATATGGGCAATGTGCAGTGGCCAATAAGGGCCCTGGGGCAACACCTCACATTGGCCCCCCCTTCACTTGGGACCCCCACTTGGCCGCTCCCCAAATCATAGTCTCCTCCTAAGAGTTTGTTCTGACAACAAATGTTTTCATCCTGGCTTGGGCTCGGGCCCTATGGAGATTTTGTTCTTACCAAGAAAATTGTTCATCTTGGTCGGGGCCTCCCAGTAGACCCGGGCCCCGGGGCAGTGACCCCCCCCCTCTCGACGCCACTGGCAATGTGAACGTAGAAACTCTTAAGAAAAGAGCAGGAAATTGTCTCCTGGTGTACTACTTAATTTACCACTTTGACTCCATGGAAGCAAGTCTCTTTTATAGGTTTCTTAATGTATTTCACACTCCACTCCAACAATTAAAACAAATGGCATACTATTTCCATTTAAGTTATGATTCAAAGTACATTACAAACGCGTCATCCGCGCGGTGGAAAGACTTAATGTTTATTTTACGAACCCATTAGTACCAAGGGATATTCGTAAAAAACTGACAAATTTGTGTAGATCAGGTGTCATTTTCCACTACCTAGCCTAGCTTTCCTCTGCCATTAATATACAGTATAGGCTGACGGCGACCAGGTCTATTATAGTACCCTAGTAGTAGTACGAACCAACAGACAGTGCAGTAGCGTGGTCTACTAGGCCCTAGCTAAATTTACCTTCGATAAAAACCAAATTATTTTAATCACTAGCTTTCTACCATTTAACAAAATATTGTTTTAATTCATAATAAAACGTCTGTATACTTTATGGACCTTTCTCTGCACTTCGCGAAAATCAAGCTTCACAGTGTTAAATAAGTTGCTGACCACAACACACTTTTTTATTTTACATGTGCGCTTATTTCAACAACTGGCGTTGGTGGTAGTTCGTTGAAACTGAATTATAGTGATTATTATAGCGGAAATGGAAAAGATTGAACTGTCAATAAATAAATACAACAAACCTCATTTTATTATTAAGAAAAATATACATTATCACTTTGAAAAACGTAGGCAATCGGACTTTTCTGACGTTATTACTTGGTCAATGATGCAAAGGGCAAAAGTCACTTGTAAAATCGACTATTCATACTGGTTTTTTACACATAATATTACAAATAATTTCTGAAAACCAGACTGAAGAGACTACTTTGCTGCTGTTGTTAGCATTGTTGGAGTACGTTGTTTCCAGCCAGAGGATGATGATAACGGTGGTACAACAACACTGCCTTAGCCCTGGCCTTAGATGCCTACATTACATAATCGTATCCTTGTAATCCAAGTGGACTTTACCGTTAGGCAGGTTAATTTACCGTCAATCTAGTGAAGTTAAGTCGCCAATGATAGGCGACCCAAGCCTTTATCTAGACATAATTGGCTGGTTCTAGGTAAGTGGATGTATCTAGATATAAGTTCGACGTGAACCAGATTGTCATGCTTTTCTGAGAAAAGGACAAGAAGTCTTTTTTTTTTTGGTTGTTTGCTTTTTTTAAACTAATCATTCGAGCAGAGAACACTGGCATTTATACATAACCCTGGGAAGAGGCAGACAATTGATGATTGCCTTGGACACAACCATTGACCAGTGTCATACTGTACTTGACCTCAAATCCTTGAATAAAAATGTATGAAAGCTTTATTCCCTTCAATTCTATTAAGTTCCTGAACGAGAAGCAGGTAGTAATTGATAAGAATAGACTTAGATCAATGGAAAAAAACAGACCTCAGTTTGTTGGTTTTAATTAGCGCTTTTAAGTAAGAGATAAAAAAAATAATTATACAACATTTGCTTTCAGATAATAATAATTTGTGCATTCTAACTTTAGGTTATTTGCATAGGTCCTTGATACACTTCAATATTAAATACACAGTAGTGAGTATATTATTATTATATCCCAGCAAGTAGTAGAGTGTAGCAGGAAATCAGATATTTTGCCATAAAAACATATTCATGAGGTACTATTATTATTAACTACTATTATTAACAATAGGCTTTGCAGGTTTTTTGTTTACTGTAATTTGTTTATTCATACTAATAATAAAAAATATGTTCTGCAAAAAGTTTTTATTAAAATCATTTAGCAATTATTTAGTAACAATAATTATTTTTAAGCTATTTCACACAGCCCCAAGACAGTGGCAGGGCCAGCTGTTTTCGGGGAAATACTTCATCGGAAAATGCATGGTGCATGGTCCCACATCGCCCGAACTCCACAACGATCCCAAGTTATTAGGGAACTTTCAAATTTTAGTAAAACAAAGAACATTCTCCTGTGGCCCATATTATTTCCACATTTCAAGGGTTTATGTTAAAACCACAGTATTGATTTGGCATCACAAGACAATTAAGAGCTATCTTACGCAGTAGGCCTAGAACTAGAATGCAATGACGTGACAATGTTTCATCTGCGCATGCAAGAACATCAAGTTCTCCTGGTCGTGTGGATTCTACAATGCAATTTGACCAAATCGACTTAAAGAGAAACTTTAAAGAACGTCTGTGTCAATATCCCCCGGTGACTCTCAAAATATTTGCGTAGGGACTTAGACACACGCCTATTTAGTATTATTAGTTTAGGCCAGCTATGCTATACCACTCACCGTTTGGTCCACTTGTTGCTTGTGCTACTTTGCCCAAAAGGCTTCTTCCACAACACACCCCAAAGTTGCACTCGAGAAGTCATCTCGCCATTATCGTAGTCGTCACTCATAATTACACGAATATAATCAAAGTTCTATTGCAGATCCTGTGAATTTAGTCTGTCTTCATTCATAAACATGTATTATAATACAACCCTAAACCACACTTTGCTCACAACTCAGTCACTACCGTCGTCGTCTGCTAAGTTCGCAGCAACTCATAAAACTTCCGGGATAAATATAAACAAGTTTGGTGGCGGTATACTACAAAAAGTGAAAACAAAACCATGCTCTGAATTTTCCTCTAACTTTACCCTGTGTCGACCGACGAGTAGTCCAAAGGACAGAAGTCAGCGAAAAGGTGCTCCAAGATTATTACGTACATTTTAATCTATTTAACAGTAATTTCATTTTGACTATTTCGAACTATGTAATTATAATTTTACATTTTTCCAGGTAAGTTACATGACTGTAGAGCCAAACAAACATCGATTACGATCATTGCTTACTTTGTAATTTATTTAAGGTGTTAAATAATTAGAGCAGCAAAAGATTTTTTTTTCTAATTAAGAAAGACGCATTAATAAAGAATATACTTTGAAAAGCCTAAACCCATAAAATTAGCAAAATACGAATTGTTTTGACCTCTGGTCAGGTAAGTTATTACCTTTCAATATACAGGCCCAATTGGAATGAGCAAACATTTTCTTCGTGCAATTAACATAGGCATGCCTATTAACATCGATCCTATAATAGTAGTAATTAATTTAAAGATTTTCCTAATAAAAAAGTTTGTAAGTCTGAATAAAATAGTGTAGTGTATATATAATATGTATATAAGTAAGAGTAGGCCTATGTATAAAAATTTATTAGAGCATTATATATGCCCTAGCATGGGTGGATAAATATTATTTGTAAGCCTATTTTTTCGACCATCCATTCATTTTCATTTAATTAGATGTCTTATTACTGTATTGTATATTTGACCTTCATAGTGTTTTACTTATCAACATTGGCACAGATTTATTGTGTACCTCCCTTCAAGACAGTCTGATTGGACTGTATTCTGACTGTATTGATCAAAGGGCGCCCTCACACCATCACAAGTTACTAAACCACGGTATAGGCCTATTATCAACATTGTTGATAGAATAGCCCTATACCATGGTTTAGCGACTTGTGATGATGTGAGGGCGCCCTTAAAAATGAAATACTGTAAATGAAAGACATTCAATAAACATCAATATAACGGTTGTAATTTATTATGCAATTTACAAAAAAGAGCATCACCAGGTTAGAGTCTGATATCGAGCAGCAAACACTCATAAAGACAAAGAGTCGCTGACGTCAATATCAAGAAAGAATTTCCCAATATGCTAAAATCTGTTGGTTAATTGATGGATGTGTACTGAAACTCATAAAATATAATATGCAAATACATCCTTAACCATAAATTAGTTTAGTATGTATTAGATTTCGGCTGAAACTTTAGCATAACTATTATTTCGAGGTTGCATTGTATAAAGTTCCTTCGAAACAATTTGAAGATACTTTACCACAATCATTAACAATTGTAAGCCTATTACGGAAAGTCCACATCGTGCTTTATAAATACTTAATTTACTTTGAATTAAATTCATAGATGCGATACAAACTACAAAATATCGGTCTACAGCGAGTACCTGAACCACAGTTTAAACTAACTTGAAATTGTTTGATCTAAACTAAACCACACAGACATCAGTATTCTCTCAATAAAGATATATATTTTTGATTTTTTTTTAACGTCAACCGAACGTCTGCATTTATGTGTCAAATGATCAAACACATTGAAGACTTTCAGGAGTATTTGAAATATCAAGATTAAAGATAATTTGCTGAAGTTGTTGACCTATTGAATAAATTATGCAATATTTTGTATGAACCCATCTTGTAGGTGGAATACCATGGTACATAAATAAGGATTCGTAAAATCAAACGAATCTGATATAATTTCAGCAAAAGTCATATTTCTACAAGAGTAATAATCTATTGATATATGTTTACATTTTTACATAGTTTACACAATCTTTAGATAATAATAGCAACATACAAAAATATGACAGATTTAATTTGAGAAAATACGCGTTGTTATAATTGGGATTTCTTTTATTGTCACCGGTATTACTAACGGTCAATTCAAGCTATTGCGCCCCCACCATCCCCTTTAAACAATTGAATCTCCGCCACTTATTAGTATGCAGCACCTAAGTCTAAATTACATTTTATCCAATAAAACAATATATTTAAAAAAACTGGGACTAATACACATGTGATAAAAACTTTATTTCTTACTAAAATATTTAATATTTTGGAAAAGATTTTTTTTAAGAAAACATGCGCTTGGATCCGGACACAAAACCTCAGAATTTTGGTTGCTAACTGAGCCTACTGGAAAGTCAGTAAACTCAGTTATACCACAGGACACTGAATTCACACACAATAGGCCTACAAATTAGAACCGTATCAACATATTGCCTTACATTTTTCTTTTAGTATAAACATGTAAAACTGTGAATGCCTACCATATGCGATTTGTTTTGAGTACTGTATTGTATAATACAAAAATAGTCAACAATCTAATTTGATCTTTGTGTGAGTTGTCGACACAAGAAGTACTGGGGTGGCGCCAGAAGGGGGGGGGGGGGGGCACAATATTAGACTCTACAACCGATTAAGTAAGCCTTTGGAACCCCTAAATTGTTAAAATTCGCCGCCTGGACCACTTTTGAAAGCGACGCTCGACCACGCCCAATTTGCTCTCGTCGGGGAAATCTTCCTCCTCGTCGGGAAATCGCCTTAGACCCCCGTCGGGCAAATCCTGGCGCCACCCCTGAAGAGGCATGACTGGGTTACTGTATTTTTGTCAATGCCTAATTTGGTTGTATTGGATTTATGCTCAATATTAGTGATCCAGTACTTATTACCGGTAGCCAATACTCTAATTTTAACCCACCTACAACACCACACAAAAGAATAGCGACCAGGGTTTATATTAGTTTAGTTGTTTTTTTCTTTCTCATTGAACGCACCGAAATGTTGTGTGCCACTGAAACAAAAGTGTATGTTCAGTTGAATAAATAAATAAATATTAGAATTTTAATGGTACACACCAATCTATCACCAGAACATGAGCCTCCTCTAACTGGATCGTTGCATTACTAATACTTGCTATCAATAAAATGCAAGTCTAGATGTTGGCCTAGATTATATTGTCTGTGAATCAGATATAATAAGATCATTTTTTTTAATCAGCTTTAATCCATATACTATACAAATAACTTAGACCTAGTTTTCATAGATTTACAAATTTTTTCCAGATTAAATGAATAATTAGATAGTATAGTATAAGAGCGGTGGGATTGGCTTATCTTGTTCTCATTTTAATCAAGAAAGGTAAAAATCTTACTTAAATATACATATTAGTCCTAAGAAAACCCACAAATTTATTTCATAGTTCAGATTTATTTGATAACACAAACAGTACATTTAACAAGAGGTTTTCCTAATTAGTACGGTATATTATATAGCTGCTTACTGGTAACTTGACCCACTACTCTATTATGTTTTTAGCTACATTTTTGTAAAATGGTGAATATTTACATTTTGGGTGAATGACAATCAACATTCATTCTAAAGATGACAAATTTCAATAGACTAATTTAAGTTATAAAATAGTGAAATATCTTCAGATTTTTTAAAAATAAAATTTAATTAGCAGAAGAATGTTTTTTTAACTTACAAAATCGATTATTAATTGATTACTATAAGTAGATATAAATTACAAGAAAAATTGTAAAAATTCTTTGGTTCCAATTATTCAAATTTTTCAGAGTACAACTGCTACTTTTAGGGTCTTCTAGTCCGCAGTTTTCATCTGCAGTTTTTATACAATCGCAATATTTTCCCGCATAGCCAATAGAACATTGGCACGAATGTCCGTGTATGCTAACTATACACGTCCCATTGTTGGCGCAAGGGTTATACTCGCACTTTTCCAACTTTGTTTCACACTGCATGCCCGTGTAACCTTCTTTGCACACGCACATTACATTTTCAAGCGTCTCAAAACATTTGCCACCGTTCATGCATGTGTTCGCAATGCAAAGCGGTCTCATAAGGCAGCCTCGTCCTGCGGTGCCCCTTTGACAATGACATGTGTAACCAAACTGACCTGGCTTCTTCGAACACAGCAACCCTATGTAAAACAATTTAAAAAATGATTAATTAACAATGGTAGAATTCAGTTTTTTATTTGAAAAAATGAGGGAAAGAGGATTTCATACGGCCCGGCCTACAGTTGGTTGAAATTTATCCATCAGAAAGCCTTTGGATGGGTGAGTGCATATTTGGACTGTTAAGGAAATCCTCTCCAAATTCCACTGTTATAGTACGGTATATATAATCGTGACGTAGACACATTAAAAGAATGAAATGAATTCAAATTCTACCTGGCGCTTGAATCACCACAATGCCTTCATGGTCAAATGGTTATGACGTACGCCATGCGAAAATTCCCGGGTTCGAGTCGCGGTTGAGGCTGAGCTTTCTCTTTCTTTGTCAAATTCCTCGTTTCAATATATATATATATTATATATATATATATATATATATATATATATATATACAATTGTAGTTATAGTTTCAACTATAATATTGGCCTATAATACATTATGCATATGTACAACTATTACCATATGACGCCTCCACATGGGACTACTACCAAGAAAACTTTCCTTCAGTCAATCTGAAGATCCGACAGCTGCTGAGTGTGTTTCAATAATTGCCTCTTCGGTTATCAATCAAGCTAACTAGAATGGATGATTTCTTTCGGACATTAAAATGTACTACCAGGCCCGCAATTGAATTAATTCACAGTCATACAGAGCCAACTCGCGCAAGCGCACTCAACAGCACCACTGCGAGACGATACAATTTAGTTAATAATTCGCGTAGCTATGCAAGTAGATGATGTCAAATAGAATTAAGTTTATTTTTATAGTAGATTCTTCAGGAATAAATAAGATAGATCATACTGTTAGGAGGGTGAATATTATTATTATTATTATTATTATTATTATTATTATTATTATTATTATTATTATTATTATTATTATTATTATTATTGAGAGCGTGAAACATCAATTTTTGATGGATATGTTCCGACATGATTATATCATGGAGGAATTAGTTCATCCATGACTATATAATATGTGGATGTAATCTATAAGTAGGTTGCAGTTTTCCTATCGCCTTCTTTTAATAATTTGCCAATTTGTTATCGTATCCGCATCATACCGGTAATATATATTCCAATTCATAATCACGTTATTTCTACCGCCAACGGGACATAGAAACTCAATCTCCTGTAACACCTGACAGAGATAAATGTTTACATCTCGCACCTGTAAAACTCTGGTGGTATGGTAAGATGTGTTAATATGAGTTACGCCGCGCAATTTACGAGGCTTCTAAACGACCTTAAAGCCGGACACACTATGGTCGGCCGAGAAATTTGTCTACGACGAGGTCTGCTGATTGTCGGTGGGCAGTCTAACAGTTGAGTGTTAAAAATGGAGTGGAATAAAATAGCTTGATGGTAAGATGTTAAGATGCTTGCCTTTCAATCTCAGGACTCTGGGTTCAATTCGTGCCACAAGCCTGGCACTCCACGTATCGTACGACGAATCCAACTCCGCTGTGACCGCTAGACGACGCAACGCCGTCTGGTGATTGTAGGTAGCAGTCTGAACAGATCGTCATTAAAAACGATCCGTTTGTGCGCGCGTCGTGGCATTGCGCTCTCCATAGAATCGCGTCGGCCAACGACCGTCGAGGGCAGTGAGTGCAAGGCTTAAGTTTCTGTTAGCATCCGTGGGCTTATGTTTGTCATGTAAAGGTATTATACCATTTAGAAAAGTAATAAGCTCGCTGCATGCTGGGCACATATCCTTTGTCTTGGGCCTTAAACAATTAAAAAATTATCCATTCCGCGCGCCTCTTTTGGCGTTACTCTATGGACTTGTGCAGACAACCGCCGTTCGACGCAGTGTGTGCCGTGGAGGCATAAAGATTTTCGTTGCTTTATAGGCTATCTCACAAGGTAGCCAACTTACCCTGTTTGCACGTTGATTCGGTGCAAACCATAAGGCTCTTTTCGCACTGGTCCTGTTTGCAATCACATCTGTAACCCACTGCCGTGTGGACACATGTGCTATTGGCGGGACATGGATTAGTGGCACAACGGTCTATATAGCTTTCACAATGTTCACCGTAGTAGTTGATTGGACAGAGACATCCTCGACCAGACCTTGATTTCTGTAAGAAAACCACAAGACTTTAAAACTGGTGGTTATAAACAATTTAAGGGAGTGTGGTGAAGTTGTTAGGTTTTTGTTTTTGGCTAACAAAGCGTCAATACTGAGGTTTCTTTTGAATCAACATCCTATAAATGTTAGCATTTTTACGACGGTTCACCATCAACTGATTGTCGAACAGTCTAAACGGATCGTCGTTAAAAAATGTCAGTTTTGCGTTCATTCGTCAAAATGCGATCTCCATTGACTCGCGTTGGCTAATGCAGTTCGCCCAATGCACCCACCCATTCATTCATTATTCACATCAGACAGCACTACCCAGCCCTCTAATCCACTCCATCACCCACAATGCCCGGATGCCGTAGCCAAGATTTTCAAACTGTGCGGGACAATATCAGTGTGAACCCACTTTACGCGTAAATTTAAATAACGTGGACCCATTTTCTTAAAAGTTGACCCATTTTACTCAAAAACATGAAAAATCTGGCCCCACTTTCTTACATTTTTACCCTTTTTTAGGCTAAATATGAGAAACTGGACCCATTTTTCAAAAAGTGGATTCATTTTATGCATGAAATTTCATAAATTGGACCCATTTTTAAAATGTGGACCCATTCTTCGGGACCCATTAGAAAAATTGTGTGGGCTGTCCCAACAGCAGGCTACGGCATTCATCACCCACACACCAATCCATCCATCAGTCATTATGTCCTAGAATTTACCGTGGTCATACAACCGAATGCTCCCTATTAATGTAAGTCCAATATTCCATTCGTGACCTTACCACGCAGGTGCCATTATTTTTGCAGGAGCACGGTCCCTTTAACCAGTTTTGGCAAGTTATTCCTGAAAAATCCTCCGCGCAATTGCAAGTAAAGCCATCCCTTCCTAGACTAGAACAAGTACCTCCATTCTTACACGGAGTGTGGTAATTACAGTAGCCCTTCGAATCTAATAGTGAAATAATAGTACAAATATTAGGGAGATTTCGCAACCTTACGAAAACGATAACGACTATGAATACGTCATAATCATTATCGTCTTTCGTGCCTTAAACATTCTTGACAATATATAATGTACGATGAAAAAGACATGAATCGCCTACGCTGTGACATATACGGTATGCTACACTAGGTGGAGGATTGTCTAAAAATGTTATGACGTAACCGTATTCGTTATGGTTTTCGTAAGATTCTGAAAACTCTCAATTACTTTTATTATCTCCGCCAGGAGACATGTTTTCAGTCGTGTAAGTATATATGTGTGTGTGGGTGGGTGTGTGCGTGTGTTTGTGTTCACAATATCTCGGCTGCACAGATCTAAATGAAGTTGCAAGGAGTGTAAGGTATAACCAAAGGATGATGTGATTAAATTTTGGTGACGATCCGGAGTAGGGTGTGGATATGAGGACCATTCTTAGGAAAACGTTCCAGCTGACCTGAATGAAACTTTCGTGAAAGTTTAACCAAGTTACAAGGAAGAAATTTTTAAAGTTTTGGTGACGATCCAAATTCGGGTGTGAATTTGAGGGTCGTTTAAGGTGCTAAGGTCCCAGACCTAAATATCTCTAAAAACGTATCGTTGAATCTAAATAAAACTTTCCAGTATAGTTTGTCATGTTTCAATGACAAAATTTTTACATTTTGGTGACGATCCGGAGTCGGATGCGGATAGGAGCACCATTCAAATGGAAACGTCCCAGCCAAGATATTTCAAAAGCTAATCAACTGATCTGAATGAAAATTTTGTGAAAGTTGAATAAGTTATAAGGAAGAAATTATCTCTTTCCAGCAGAGTTTATCATGTTTTAATGATGAAATCAAATAGTATAAAACTGCAAGAGGTCCGACTGCCCTTATTTTGTATACAGGCAATGAAACGTTAAAAAGTACTCCCACGACAGGGCGGGTTGATTGGTGGATGGGTAGGTGGATGGAGGAGTGTTGGATATAGCTTGGATGAATGAGCAAATGGGTGAATAGATGGATAAGTGGGCAGATTTTTTAATGGCAGTGTGATTGGTAAATATGTGCATAAATGGGTGGGTAAACGAATGGATGGATGATGGGTATACGGATGGGCGGATGGGTAACAGTAGATGGGTGTCTGTTTGGTGGACATAGTGGGTTGGTGGATGTCCGAGGACGGATAATAAACGAATAGATAAATATATACGTATTGATCGATACCAGTACATACCGATGTCACAAAACATACCACGCCAACCTGGTTTGCATTTGCATCCACCGGGATTGATGCAGTATCCATGGACGCAAAAGCCATGCGTAATACATTCGTCGCACAGCTCGCCACCGTATCCTGCATAACACCTGAAGTAAACAACATCGGGGTTTAAACATTCCCTACGCAAGAAGTGCTTTCCGAAACGTCACTTGCAGAGCCACGCTCCGAACAAGATTTTCTTTTATAAATTTCAAATAATCTAGGCGGCCTACTATTTTCTTTCCCCACAGTGTATAAGAGACAGACTAAGCTTTGCCGGACAAATGAACTTTTAATTGTAAGATTTGCCAACAAAATTAATTGCTCTAATCGGTTTGTCTGTCATTTCAAGGATAAAAACAATGCATTTAACAAACTTTTTACATTTGTAATAAATATACTGAGCATTTAAATATAAATAACAATCACATGTAAATAAGCGTTACTCGTTAATATGTGCTATGGGAAAATATATTAATATATCGCCACCCAAAAAATTCACCTTCCTACCCCCCACTTCCCCTCCCTCCTCATATTTCAAACGGTGGCGCCGCCACTGTGCGCGTGTTTCTGGACCGGTTAAATGTTTTATTGACACTTATGAAAGGTCCATTTAGGATAAAATGGAGCACTTTTTTGCACAAAGGAGGTTCCACATTTTGTTAGTACTGTACTCTGCACTTGTAAATTATAATTATTATTACCGTATGTTTCAGTGAAATGTTACGGAAGCCCGTTAGTGCCACCACTTATTAAGTTAACGGATCTGAAATTTTAATTCACTGGTGGCACTAACGGGCTTCCGTAAAATGTCTATTTAAAGTCAATGTTATATGTTATACTCGTATTGAACCAACCTGCATGTATCACCATCACAAATTCCATGAACGCAAGGCAAGCATATGTCTGAAATCAAGTCAAAACATATTAATTAATAATTATACAAACGTCATGCTTAGAAATTATAATGTCTTCTTCGATTACATTAGTGGAAACAACTCTCATTTTATGAATAAAAACGAGAGATTTTAGTGAATAAAAATCCAACAGATGAAAATATTGGTTGATTTCATGTAGCATATATATATATATATATATATATATATATATATATATATATATATATATATATATAAATTTAGATAGATAGATAGATAGATAGATAGATAGATAGATAGATAGATAGATAGATAGATAGATAGATAGATAGATAGATAGATAGATAGATAGATAGATAGATAGATAGATAGATAGATAGATAGATAGATAGATAGATAGATAGATAGATAGATAGATAGATAGATAGATAGATAGATAGATAGATAGATAGATAGATAGATAGATAGATAGATAGATAGATAGATAGATAGATAGATAGATAGATAGATAGATAGATAGATAGATAGATAGATAGATAGATAGATAGATAGATAGATAGATAGATAGATAGATAGATAGATAGATAGATAGATAGATAGATAGATAGATAGATAGATAGATAGATAGATAGATAGATAGATAGATAGATAGATAGATAGATAGATAGATAGATAGATAGATAGATAGATAGATAGATAGATAGATAGATAGATAGATAGATAGATAGATAGATAGATAGATAGATAGATAGATAGATAGATAGATAGATAGATAGATAGATAGATAGATAGATAGATAGATAGATAGATAGATAGATAGATAGATAGATAGATAGATAGATAGATAGATAGATAGATAGATAGATAGATAGATAGATAGATAGATAGATAGATAGATAGATAGATAGATAGATAGATAGATAGATAGATAGATAGATAGATAGATAGATAGATAGATAGATAGATAGATAGATAGATAGATAGATAGATAGATAGATAGATAGATAGATAGATAGATAGATAGATAGATAGATAGATAGATAGATAGATAGATAGATAGATAGATAGATAGATAGATAGATAGATAGATAGATAGATAGATAGATAGATAGATAGATAGATAGATAGATAGATAGATAGATAGATAGATAGATAGATAGATAGATAGATAGATAGATAGATAGATAGATAGATAGATAGATAGATAGATAGATAGATAGATAGATAGATAGATAGATAGATAGATAGATAGATAGATAGATAGATAGATAGATAGATAGATAGATAGATAGATAGATAGATAGATAGATAGATAGATAGATAGATAGATAGATAGATAGATAGATAGATAGATAGATAGATAGATAGATAGATAGATAGATAGATAGATAGATAGATAGATAGATAGATAGATAGATAGATAGATAGATAGATAGATAGATAGATAGATAGATAGATAGATAGATAGATAGATAGATAGATAGATAGATAGATAGATAGATAGATAGATAGATAGATAGATAGATAGATAGATAGATAGATAGATAGATAGATAGATAGATAGATAGATAGATAGATAGATAGATAGATAGATAGATAGATAGATAGATAGATAGATAGATAGATAGATAGATAGATAGATAGATAGATAGATAGATAGATAGATAGATAGATAGATAGATAGATAGATAGATAGATAGATAGATAGATAGATAGATAGATAGATAGATAGATAGATAGATAGATAGATAAATAGATAGATAGATAGATAAATATAGATAGATAGATAGATAGATAGATAGATAGATAGATAGATAGATAGATAGATAGATAGATAGATAGATAGATAGATAGATAGATAAATAGATAGATAGATAGATAGATAGATAGATAGATATCACATTGAAAAATAGAAAAGCAATGTAGAGTTAAAAAAAAGGCAGTGGCGGGCGGGGGTTTTATTCTCGACGCGGAGCGTACGTGGCGGGCCAGAGGCCGCACAGAATCCTTCGAAGGCCCGGGGGTGTCTAGGGAGGGCATGATTTATTTCGAAGGATTTTTTATGTGATAAAGTCTCTATAAATAAATCATATTACTGTATATTCATATTAATGATATTTTAGATAATATTAATAAATAATAATAATATCAATAAAAATAATAATTATTATATATGTAATTATGCCTATGTAATTATTGTAGGCCTATGTAATTATGTAATATTTAATCACATTATTGTATATATTTATTTATAGGTCTACTACTATACAGTGACTATATAATTATATACTGTAGGTATACCTTGCATTAAATTAATATCACATGACACGTAAACACATTATAAGCAATTTGAAATGACTTCAACAAAACAACTGTGTAAAAGTATTGTGTTTCGTGGCACAACACACAAGAGAATATGCTGTTAAGAAGTACTGTAATTATAACACAGTAAGATTTAAACGTTCAGAGGTGTAGAGAATGGAAATCAACGGGTATGATCGGCCTCCCGAAGCGCTAACTATGGCACAAATAAAGAATGGAGGCAGAAGACGTAAACATAGCGGGCAACCGCGTGTTTTGCTGGCCTCGCAACATATTCAATAACATTCATATTTTACCAAATGTGACCATTTTATTACGAAATATTTAATAACTGTAATAATAATAATCGTCGGTTGGGAAAAAATATCAATTCGTCGGCTTACGTCTGGGTTATTACTTTGAAAAACGTTAAGGTGACGCTTGACCACGATCACTTTGCCCTTGTCGGGATCTCGGACTCACAACCTTTCCATTGAAGCCATAATAAAATAAATAATATGATACTATAGCCTACTATAGCGAATATTCCCATTTGCCATTCTTGGACTAGGTTACGAGTTTCGATACCTCAGACCTTCGTGCGTTTGCTTTAGTTTGAATCTGCTTTCATTTAATCGGTGCCACAAAATAATAAAAAGCAATGGTATTTCCTGAATAAGTTAAAAGTGGTTCTCGCAAACTATTTTACGCGCACGTACAGTAAAACCGGCGGCATGTATAGGTACCAACGCGTCGCATCACATCCAATCAAGGACGGGAAAACTATCAGGATGATTATTTTCGACGGATTAGAAATGTTTTATTATTATTATTATTATTACTATATTGTAGTGTAATAATGTGTATTGTGATATGGAGAGTAGAAATATTGCTTTAAATGAACGTGGGTGTGATAATGTATTATGCCACCATATCGTAAATCTAGATTTTGTCTACAAGTTTACATGATTAAGTCAACAAACCCGTAAGTACGTCAAACGACGGATAATGAAAAAATAATGCTGAATCGTATTGAATATCTCAAAACATATGTTATGCTAATCGCTTTACAATATTGAATATCTTGTTAGGGGGAATACATCAAATGATTTCAAAAGATGGGGCGCATTATTATAATTAATAATCTGTCAGTGATATAAGTATGTAAATTGTAGCTATGTTTTTTAAAATTTTATTTTAAGCAATATTTCTACTTTCCATAATAATAATAATAATAATAATAATAATAATAATAATAATAATAATAATAATATAATAATTTTAATAATAATAATAATAATAATAATAGTAAGAATATAATGCCAATACTTATAGTTATATTATCATTAAGCATAATTAAATTGTGCGTGAGAGTTGTGGGCCACCATAGATAGCAATAATAGTATTATTATTATTATTATTAATAATAATAATAATAATAATAATAATAATAATAATAATAATAATAATAATAATAAATAAATTGAAATTAAATTGTAGCTATTAATCACTGTTCACTATTAGTACAATCTTGTTGGGGGTGAGGGATTACATCGAACTATTACAGAAACAGAGCATATTATTATGATTAATAGTTTCTCAGTGACATAATTCCGTTTGTAAAATTGTAGCTATGTTAATCACTACAACATTTGACACATTGTTAGGGGGAAACACATGTAACGATTACACACAAAGCGTGAGCACATTATTATAATTAATACTGTAGCCTCTGACAGTGAAATAATTCCGTATGTAGAATTGTAGCTATGTTAATCACTGTACAATGATTGGACATCTTGTTAGGGGGAAATACATCGAATTATCACAAAAAACGTGAAGACATTATTATAATTATTAGTCTCTGACAGTGAAATAATTCCGTATGTAAAATTTGTAGCTTTGTTATCACTGTACAATATTGGACATCTTGAGGGGGAACTACATCGAATATGATTTCGGAACACCGCACTGAAACCAATTAATTTTTATAAAATTATAAATCGTTGTAGTAGAATTACTTCATAGGAATATTTAAAAAAAAAAGAAATCTGTCAGACTAAATAAAGTAATTAACGGGGATGTTTGCCTGAAAAACACGAGGCTGCACAATGTACGTACGTCAACCAATCTCGTGATGAAGATATCGGAATGGTTTCAACAGTTATAGGTAATTTGCTTCTTAACATGCTTATTGGTATTTAAGTATTACCTTGTATTTAATAAGTAGGTTAGGCCGACTATTAATAAACATCAATATCGAAGAATATAGGTTAATATGCCATTGTAGTTACAAACCATTTCCCGAATAAATATGAATATTGGATCATAAAGCGATGTAGGAATTATTAGGGCATGTTAAAATGCGGTCCCCTGCGTTCAACGTCATCACATTATAATCTGAATAACATGTGACGTCATAGTAGTGATTACATTATTATTCTACATGTAATTGTTAAAAAGGGGCTGTTACGTTGAGATTTCCAGTGATTTATACGTACGGGCTCAGCTAAGTCATGACCTGCAATACATTGGACTAGAATTCTAAAAAGACGATTCGAACGTTATTAATCAATATCTACTATCAATTGCTATGGAGTAGTAGAATCGATATCAATCTATGTCGTTAACGCAATGAAAATAGTAATCTTAAAAATCTCTTAGCACTTTTCAGATCCATGGATCTATTAATATTCGGCAGCTCATAAATCGACCGATACAAAGTAA